TAGAATTAACTTACTTTTATCTACTTTTACTTACTTCTATCTATTTATATATGTAATTATTGACTTACATGCGTATGTTTGGGATACTAGACAACGTACAAGATAATGTCTACCTGAAACATTTAATAGAATTATTTGCAATCATCTACTTAATGTAATCTATTTTTGTTTGAAATTATAGATAGATGTTGTTATGATGTAAATACATTCATATATGAAAACCTTATTTGACTTACTTTTCTTTGAACTTTTATTAAGTTCTTTTTTCTTCTTATAAATCTAATTTTTTTATAGTTTTGGAAAAGTTTTCTTACTTTCTTTTTTTTTCTTTTCTAAAATTTTGGCTAAATTTTATTTTATCTTTAACCTTAAATTTATCTTTGATTTAGTCTTAAAAACTTCTTTTATTCCTTTTACTTTCTTTTTAATCTTTGATTTTAGTAGATTCAGAGTTATATTTGTAGATGTAAGAAGAATTTTGACTTTAAGGTTGTATTTAGATTATTTATTAAGAATAAATGGAAGTTTGGATAGTATTAGTTGATTGACATTAATAGTGCTAACTTGAACCATTAGATTTGGTATTTTTTTAACTTTAAACTATTAGTTTTTGACTTGGACTTTGAAGGCCTTATCTGCAATTTCTTTAGCAAGCTCAGAAGCAAGGAGGAAGGAATTTTTTGCAAGTTGAAAAGAGATATTTAGAGAGAAGAACTTCTTGGTATGAATTTAGGTTGAAAAAATGCATGAATTGGGACTCAGATGAGAGAGTTATGCTTGTTTAAATTTAAGCTATTAAGTTGATACCTACTATCACTTTTTCATGCATATTAGGAGTTTTAAGATACTAACAAGAAATCAAAGAATTGGATTAGAAACAAGACTTTAAATTGAAAATTTCATATCCAAGGATTGATAGAATTGAGTCTAGAATGAATGAGATATGGCTAGTTAAAATCAGTAAATTAAGACTAGGATTTTGAAGAAATTAGAGAAATAGAGGGTTTTGGGTTTAAGCTAGAACTTGAGCATCAAGACGAATTTGAAGCCTATTTTTTTTGTACATGTCACTTATGATATAAAGAGCCTATGTCTAAAATCTCATATCAATTAAGACTTTGACTTGGGAGAAATGGTGAAATTAGTTCTCAGGTATTTACGGTTTTGACTTTCAGAGGTACCTACTATGATTTTGGTGATATCAAACAATTGGTAACAAATTTATAACTGAAAATTTATGTAATGATGATCAAAGGTACAAGTTTTGTCTTCCCAAATTTTAAGCTTATTTGAATGGCCAGATCTTGGGATATGAATTTTCTAGTTTTTAATTTGGTTTTGACTTTCAAAAGTACCTTCTAAGGATTTGGTGATATCAAACAACAAGTAACAAATTTGTAGCCAAGAATTTGTGTGATAATGGTCAAAAGTATAAATTCCGTACTCCCAAATTTTAAGCTTATTTAAATGCCTAGATCTTAGATTATGAATTTTCAAACTTCAAGTTTGTTGGTTTATTACAAATATAGTTTTGTAAATACTCAAAGAGGAATTTAAGAAGGTTTTGTCCATATTGGACCCAACTTGAATGCAAAGAGGGATCCTATATTTATCCAAAGCGGACTCTTGCTACAACAGCAGTAAAAGAGATATATGAGGTGCAAGAAATCTAAGCATAATATCAAAAATTATCCAAGTTTTGTAAGCATTAAATATTAAAAACTTATTGAAAATATATATATATATATATAAATATATATATATTGTACAAAAAAAATGAGTAACAACTAATTTTTAGAAAAGGATGAGAAAATTTTTTGGAGAGGTGTCAATTTAATAATTCCAAGATGTTGCATTAAGAATACACTAAAAATATATCAAATATTAATTTCTTAATATTATGAATAAAAATATTCTTTAATTTTTCTATTTTCAAGTAAAAAAATTGATATTTATGTAATTTAGTTAATCAAATTCAATAAAGTTTATTTTTTAAAAATAATTAATTATTTTTTTATAAAAATCTCATAATTATATTTATTATATTTTTTTTTTTATTTTCATAGACTATTTTATTTGAAAACTAAAATATTTAGGTTTTTATATTTTTTAACAACAAAAAATAAATTAATAAGATTATTTTAAGGTCTTTAAAAGAATAATAAATATCTATAATTGCAACAATAGTTATTCAATCTTAAACTAAAAATAAATAATTTAAATAAAAACTTTAAAAGAAAATTTTAAAATAGAATCTTTGTTAAAATAAGTCATTTATTTCTAATATAGTATAACATAGTATTTTACAATAATTTCAGAAGTAAAGCCATTGAAAAAATATAAATAAATAATGTGATTTGTATTTCATAATCATATTAAAAATATTGTTACAAAATTAATCAAATTAATATTTTAAAAAATTACATGAAATAAATATTACTAAAGAATATTAGTATAAAAGATGTGAAATCAACAATTAAATTTTCTATTTAAGAAAATATATCTATGTATTTTTTATTTAATAAATTAAGAAGTTAAAAAAACTAAAAATAATATAAAAAATTTAATAATTCTAATATAAATTTATTGAATTAGATTTTTAAATTTTAAAAATAATATTTTTTAAAGATAAAATATCAGTTTAACAATAAATTATACCCAGAAAACTAATTAGTTTAAAATTTACTCGTTATTACTATATATATATATATAATTAAAAAATAGAAAAAAAATAGATTATGTGACATGTGTATTTTGTAAAAAAATTATACATGTTAAAGAGTTAAATAAAGAATTGACCTTAACTAAATTAATTTTTTAAATAAAAATTGTTAGAAAAATAATATTTTACAAAGAAATGTTTATTTTTTAAATTATTGAATTAAAAAATTTTAAATATTTTTTTTTATAAAATAGATAATTAAGAAATAAATTAAAAAATAAGACTATGAAAATGTTAAGAACCTACTATAGGATTTAGAATAGTTTTAGGAATACAATAACTGATTTTATAAAGAATTATTATATTTATATTATTTATATAAAATCTCAAAAAAGAAATAGGACAATGTTAATGAAGAAACTCAATTTTTATTTGTTTTTAAGGTGATGTAGTGTTTCAAAAAATATTGTGTAATTTTCTGGGATAATCAAGCTTTAGACAGAGACTTCTTTAAAAATCTTGTTGTAAAAAATAGAACTATGACTTCGGAAGTTTACAATATAGTAATAATAAGAATAATTGAATTTATTTTTATTTTAAAATCGTTTTTTTATTATTTTTCAAACATCAAAAAAATATCATGGAAATTATATTTCATTGAATTATTTATAAAAAAAATTATAAAATTATTATATTATTAATTTTTAAAAACTAAAATAAATTTTGTGAATTTAATTTAATTCAAAATAAATTGCACTTGTCTCTTCAATATAAGTAAATTAATAAGATAATTATCTTTATTTATATAAAAAAATATGACGTATTATTTTGTAATATTCTATGTTTTTAGTCTTGAATATTTTTGAAATGTATTGAAGAATTTGAGAGACTTGTGAAAATATGACTTAAAACATTAAAATAGAGGGAATAAAATCTTATAATTTATTTTACTTGTAACGCATTTTTCTAAAAAAACATTAAATAATTTGGTATTGAAATTGATTTAAAATGCTACTTGCAAATGTTGATAATGAAAATTTGCATTTACTTTCAAAATTTTGTGTTAATCGGAAATTTCAGAAAGTAAACTCAAAAACAAAAAAAAATGAAAATAAAAATTTACCAATAATATAATTCGGTATTTAGGATAATACTTTCTTTTAATTTAGATTTTTCTATTACAAATTGAAAGTTGTTAACAACATACTTCATAACCAATGTAGATTCAAATCTTTTACTTGTATACATGGGGTCTAAATTATTGCAAATAAAAAACACTATTTTTAAATGGCCAAGCACTACTATTTTTGTTGATTTGACAATACAGAAATATATATTTAAAAAATCCAAAAAAATCTAAATTGCTGTTTTTTGCCAATATTATATGCATATATGTCATTTAATAATCTATAAAAAAATCATATCTTTAGAAATTTTAATGTAATTCTTTTTTCTTGAATGACTTCAATTACAATTAGTGCTATCACTTTTAACTTGTAACATATTTTTTGAGAATTAGTCAATAGAAAATCCTCAAACAAGAAATAGAGATCAGTCCATTTTTCTTATGTATAATTTATGAGATAGTATAACTTGTTGAAAAGAAGAAAAAAGATTGATTATAACTTGTAAGAATATGAATAAATGTGCATACAATTGTAGTAGGTTACTTCTATTCTTGGTCTAATTTTAAAATCAACAATTGATTCAAATTTTTTTGTTGTGAAATCAAACATGTTTCTACCAATTGTTCATCCAACTACTATTTTTTGATTTGCTTTTTTTTTTTTTTTTTTTTGAAAAGAATCATTTATATATATATATATATATATATATATGTCTAATACCTTTCTTATCGAATACCAAAAATTGTGCCATCTCTCAAAGTTGTATTGCATGAAATACTTCTATTCCATAATAAAATCCACAACAAAATTAGCATGTTTCTTGCTGTGTAAAAAATGTGCCACTTTGATACAACTTCTTTGCCTTCTAAAAAACTAGGCACCCTTCAAAGTTAGACACATAGAAGCATTATAGCTCTCATTTTACACAAAGTTTGGACTCTATTATAAAAACCCACACAAAGTTCGTTCACACGTTGCTTGTGAAAGTGGAAACAATACCACATTTCTTCCCTTGGACTCATGTGCACCACAAAAAGAATATACTAAATATTAACACATTCTATTGGCACGCTACCTTCTAAGAAATCCCATCACAATCTGGTCCGAATCAGTCTTCATCCACTGCACCACGAATATTCGGATCCATCATCCGATAACTATTCATTCATTCATTCACGAGGACGTGTTTGGGCGGCTTCAAGCGACCCTTGCCTTCAATCGATGCTTGCGTTGTGCTCGGGTTGGGTCGGATTTTGCTGTTTGATGCTGTGGCTCGTCCAGGAGAGACGTTTGTGGTGTAGATTAGAATTGGGTTTCTGCTGAAATTGTCGGGGAGAAGCTGAATTGCTAAGAAATTAGTGGGGAATTCGCTGAGTTTCAAGTGAGGGGAGGGGAGAGAAGGAGAATGAGGTATTTCAAAGTCGTGGTGGAAGAGATCACAGAGACGATTGAACATTTGTGGCCGTGGCATCACAAGGGTGATGACGGACAGAGAGATGGCGACAAGGAGAGAAAGCTTAACTCGAATCCGGTGCTGTTGGTGCCTGGCATCGGAGGCTCCATCCTCAACGCCGTGGACCAGAACGGCCGCAAGGAGAGGGTATGGGTGCGCTTGTTTGAGGCTGACTATGAGTTTCGATCTAAGCTCTTCTCCTTTTACGACCCTGTTACAGGTACGACGTTTTTTTGGTTTGATGTTTTGGGTAGTAGTGGTGGACAATTGAGGTGTTGTGGACGAGATGTAGTGTAATAGGGTCCTGAGTCGGTGCATGTGTCTAAGTTTGGAAGTAATTTGGAACTTTCTAGTTTTTCTTTGAGTTTTGGCAGAATTCACCATGAATCGTCTAGTATGTTTGACATTGAAATGGAAGTTTATGTGTGGGTAATTGGCAGGGAAAACCCATTCATTGGATAAAAATATAACAATCGAGGTTCCAGAGGATCGGTTTGGATTGTACAGCTGTGATATTCTCGATCCTGATGTGGTTCGTCTCTCTTCTTTTGTGACTCTCCCATCTGTTGTGTACATTGACGTTTCTATTCTTGGGATTTTCGTATGGTACTTCAAATCAACGTATTTACTACAAATGCTGGAATCAATCGTCTCTAGCACTCACATGTCTGACTGTGGCAGGTTTTGCGTATTGATTCCGTGTACTACTTCCACGATCTGATTGAGCAATTGAAAAATTGGGGTTATGAGGAGGGTAAAACGTTGTTTGGTTTCGGTTATGACTTCCGCCAAAGCAATAGGTACCCTTACTTTTCACCTTTATGTAAAGGAGCTTTTCTTATCACAAGTCATCTATTTCATCCCACCTGCTCCAGTTGGCTCACTAGTGCCGTCATTCGCTTAGTGACCTTTTGCAGTAAGGCATGTCAATTTATCATGTTTCATCCAATTGAATTGTTTTTGACAGTATTATCAATCATTTTGTCTTCAAATGTAATGCAGGCTTGGGGAAACTATGGATCGACTGAAAGCGAAGCTGGAGATGATGTATGAGGTATCCGGCGGCAAGAAAGTGGACATAATCACGCATTCCATGGGTGGTATTGTATTAAAGTCTTTTCTGGCTCTTCATCCTGAGGTAAACGATTTTTGAGTTACTGTGACCACAAGACCAACAGCTTTGTTAGTTATTTAAAAGACGTCAGAATTTCGACAGGACTTTAGGTGCCAGTTTGTGTAGGATAGCATGAATTCACTTAAGCGACCAGTACGTATCCAGTATTAACATGCTTCACGTAGTTTATTCACGTTGTATGGATTTTTTGGTTTGTGCGCCTTACAGTTTCGCGTCGTGCTGCATTGTTCCTTGCAGCGCATCGACTTAGTTTTCTCCAGGTTCCGTTGCTAAATTTTTGTGGTTTGTTGAATGCAGGTGTTTGAGAGATATGTCAATTCGTGGATTGCTGTTACCGCGCCCTTTCAAGGTAACGGGCTTTTCTCTTCGTCTAGATAATTGAAGGGTTTCTCTGTTCCTCTTTTTTTAAAATTGTATTTTCACTCGGGTTGCGAATGAATATTTCTGCACCATTTTGTTGTCTGACGTTGTGACTACGTTCCAGGTGCTCCCGGTTTCATCATGGACTGTCTTCTTACTGGTGTGGAGTTTGTAAAAGGTTGGCAGCGAGAACTTTTCGTTGCTAAGTGGAGTATGCATCAGCTTGTATGTAACTTCATACTTTGCCTCTTCTTTTTTCAATTTTGAATTCCAAATTGTATATATAGTTTATATGTCACAGTGGTGAACTCACCGCCTGTGATTTCCTATTACGTACAAATTTTTTTGGAATAGGTCTTGCACCTGGTGTTTTCCTTCTCATGATTCTAGATTAATTGGAGATAGTATACTTGCAGTTGATAGAATGCCCATCAGTATACGAGTTGATTGCCTCTCCTCACTTCGAGTGGAGTGAACCTCCTGAGCTGCGGTTATGGCGGAAAAAAGCAGAAGAGAATGGTGACGAGAATGTGTTACTGGAAACTTTTGGGCCTAAGCACAACCTTGACGTTATGATTGCCGCTCTTAAAGATAACAAGGTTTGACATTGATCTGCAGACCTGTGGAAGAGTCTTTGATTTGACCTGCAGAACGTATGGTTAAGTTTTCAACTGATTTGATGCTGTTGCCCTTACCAGTCTGTCTCGATCCTGCTTGACAATGCATTTGTGTTCTGGATATTCTCTCAGCTGGATTATAAGAGCGCTAAAATACCTTTGCCTTTGAACGAGGACATTCTTAAGTGGGCACTTGAGACTCAGAGAATCCTGCAGACAGCCAAGCTCCCTGAAAGTGTTAAGTTTTACAATCTCTACGGCACATCGTTTGAGACCCCCTACCATGCCTGGTTAGTTCTTTTCCTTGCACTGAATTTAAGAGAAACCCTATGTCCATGAATGACATCTTTGCTTGTATTTTATCTCAGTAAACATTTCCTTAAGATCTTATTTCATGCCATTCGTACTCTGACCAGTAACTTAATCCTTGTTCTTTCAGCTATGGGAGCAAGAAATCGCCTCTGCAGAGGCTAACTGAGATCTTGGATATGGAGGTACTTTTTACAATACCATTTTTTGAAAAAATAGTCTCACCAGATCATTCTAGACTTTTATATGTTTGTCCTCCATCAACAAGGTACTTTTGGTCAAGCCTTCGAAAGAAGTTGGTATAAGGAACGGGACAGAACTTGTAGGAGTCCTGTTGCTTCGCATGTCACCGACGTTATGATGTGTACATACTACCGCATTACATGGAGTTGTGGTATGCTACCTCTGCGATTTCAAGTTTTGCATTGAATTGTTGTCATCTGCCATGTAGCTTTTTAATTAACTTTAACCCAGTAATGAAACAGGCTGAATTCTCATGTGTTGACGGGGATGGTACTGTTCCAGTCGAATCCGCAATGGTAAATTCGCACATGATTGCTTATTCGTATATTCTTGTTGAAAATGATTTTAAGTAGTTCTTTAACATTTTTTCTTGAGACTATTCTAAGTCTACATTAATTGTTCTAATCGGGCCTTTCAACACTGTTGAATTGAACGTCATATAATTTACAGTCTATTTTGAGAATACTACACAGCAAGTTCATATTTGATGAAATTTGATTTCAAAGTGTGGTTTTTAATTGGACTATATAGAAGTATGTTCTGTTTTCTATAAGATTTAGTTTCTGGTATTCGCTTTTGTGTACAGGCTGATGGTTTGAATGCTGAGGCGAGAGTGGGAATTCCTGGTGATCACCGGAGCATTCTTAGGGACCAACACTTTTTCCATATTATGAAGCATTGGTTGAAGGTTGGAGGCGCGGACCCAGAATACGATCCAGAAACAGACTATGTCATAGTTCCTAGAAGTGGTTTCGAGTTTGATAGCCATATGGAAGAAAGCATTGCCGTGGTTGATCGCGAAGGAACTGAGGAGAGTCTTAGCATCCCACCAAATACAGTCTATATTGCCACAGTTGAAACAGGTAATATTTTCCCGTTATTCAGCTTTGTGTTCATCTCTTTCCTGATAATATGCATTTCCCGCTCATAACATGAGACATTGAGTCTTATTTTTCAGAAACTTTACCCGAGGAGATATGTTTATACTTTGTGGCCTAGAACTCAGATTATTTAGAATTGCACCATGGATCTCATTCATGTTTGAAGTTTTATTAGCTTGGCTGTGCAACAGTAAATCTGATGCTATTCTAGGTCAATACTGAATCCAACTTCGTATATTATCATTTTAGATTTTGTTTTGTAGCGGTGGGATCCATCATATCTCACACGTATATCAATGACTGAATTCTTGACAGGCTCAGGTTCTTCTAGTGATACTCGAGCAGAGGCCCATGCTCACGTTCATCCCAAGGCAGGCCAAGTTGATGAATCTGAATTTCAAGTCTCGACCATCGGTGTTGCTGAAGGGGTAGATGAAGAGGAAACCAAGGCTGCTCTTGACCAAGTCATGGTTGCAGCATCTAAGGAAGCTAAAGCTCGCACGGTTGACAAAAAACGAATCGTCCATGATGATACATGTGTTCTTACGCACTAATACAACATTGAAACAGTCAGTCTGGGCTGTAATTGGCAAGAAAGCTGACGACTTACAAATGAACTCGCTTCCTCTTTAACGACCCTTCAAAGGCCGAAGGTGGTCTCTGCTATGTAAACCTATTTCTTATTGTTCAAGACCTACACAAGCTATATGTTTCAATTTCGCATCCCAATTCAGCCAAGGTATGGGCCATAGAAGCTCCAACATTCTATTAATATTTCTGTCTGAACGATAATAACGTAGGTCTATGACTTTGCTGTACATATTGAAAATGTAGGATAAAATCTGGTTGTGGGAAAAGTCGTTCAATCATTCCAACATTGTAGATACCAATCCCAATTTACGACGAAAGAATCCTGTATAGGTGCTTCTGATATTCTACTAGGAAGCGTAGGCTTCGTCTTGATTCTTTATATTGAGAACATTTCTTCAGGGAAGTGACATACATATAATATCGTAGCTTTATTTGTGTGGCTCATTTGGACTTAGAAGAGGACGTAAGGGTTAATTGTGTAGTATGAAGACTATCTTTATCTCCTCATCTTGTAAAGATTGTGAATAAAGCAGCGATGTACACAATTGGGTTTTCTGACCTTGTTCTGCTGTTATTGAGCCTCTTTGTCGTATGTGTGTGTTGGAATCTTCACCTACACATCTGGTAATTATTTTTGACCAACGTAGCACGGGTCGCAAAAAATTTCAAGTGCAACTTTCAGAAGTAGCAAAATTAGCAGCAATTGTCCTGTATTGTTCTCATTATCTGTGAGAACTGGAACTGCAGTTGGTTACAAAGCTACTAAACAATTGGTTATATAACTGTAGAACTCTTTGTATACAGAAATTTAAATCCTTAGTGTCGAATTACTTAATCCGTACGATTTCTCACGTCAGCTCTTTTCTGATAAGGTTAGAGGTCAACGTAGTTGGAGACATTGTATACACTGACCTCGGGAAAAAAATATGAAACCAAGAAAACTCAAGTTTAGAAATAACAGTTGTATTGCGAGAGTCAAGTGGTCACGATCAGTATTTTAAGTTCCAGATTTCGTTTGAGTCACTGCTCTGTGCCACACCTACTCATAGTAACAGTTAAGAGGCAATGTACTGAATCATGTGATGTACCACCAAAACCCCTGAGTGTTGGGAATAATTTGTAATGACTACTGACATTCTGTTAGCGTCAAATCGTACCAAATCACCTACGTAGCAAAATGATAACCGCACCAAAATATCAAAACAAAAAAAATAACCTTCAGCATCTCCATGCATCGTGAGAAAGAAACCCGGATCTCACACCGAGTTAGCACTGAAAAAAGAGCTAAATGCAGATTCCATTTGGAGAATTGACACATTAAGAGATCAAAATTATTCCCGACTCAAAATCATCTGTTCCGTCAGCTCTTCAATACGTTAACTCTAGAATGCCTATCCCAAGACAGGGAAATCAGATTCTTCTAACAAATGGTGACAATAATTTCGAAAGAGGCTTTTATCTGGCATGACGGTCACACCACATTGCACAATCGGGGTAAAACCTTCAATGACGCCAGTCTAACTATATTGCACCGGTTATGCATTTGCAACCCCATAAGCTCTTTTGGCAGCGTCAAGAGTATTTGAGAGAAGCATCGCTATGGTCATGGGTCCAACGCCTCCAGGAACTGGTGTGATCTTCGACGCTACATGGCAGGCCTCTTCAAAACATACGTCACCCACCAGTCGGTAGCCTTTTTTAATTGATAGATCCTACAACGTAAGGTCAGAACAATGTACAGTGAGGCCAACATCAGGTCACTGGCAGCAACACCAAGCATACAAGAAAATATCGATGAACAGAAACAGAAGGATCTCACATGCAAAAAAAATTAATACTACATACCTCCACAGCGTTGATTCCCACGTCAATAACAACGGCTCCTGGTTTCAGCCAATCACCTCTAACCAACTCAGCTTTTCCTGCCGCTGCAACCAAAATGTCGGCTTCTCTCGTGATCTCTGCTGGATTTGGTGTTTGCGAGTGCACAACAGTAACTGTAGCATTTTCACGCTGCAGGTCGAAGGTTGGTGAGCTAACACATGGGAAGTTGATTTAGGACTTGCGGGATTCAATTTAATTGAAATGTTGGAAGGCAAAAAACCTCAAGAGCGACAACATGTGAGATCGTCCACTCCGGAGATAACTCATACCTGTAGGAGCTGAGCTGCAGGTGTGCCCACAATATTACTACGGCCAATAACAACTGCACGCTTTCCCTTAATTTGCACCCCGGAGCGCTTAAGTAGTTCAATGCATCCTTTGGGAGTGCAAGACACAAACAAAGGTTTCCTCCCTTGCATCGCCAAAGTTCCAACATTGATCGGGTGAAATCCATCCACGTCCTTCTCATAGCTCACCGCCCCAAGAACCACCTCCTCGCTGATGTGCTGCAAGCATTAGAGCAACACTCCTTTAAGAAGAATCTCAAGAGCTACGTCCTCCTCGAATTCGCATAGCTTGGTCACACAAGAACACAATCACATCATCCACTAACCTTAGGAAGAGGAAGCTGAACAAGTATTCCATGAACAGCTGGATTGTCGTTGAACTCCTTGACACGAGCCACTACTTCCTCTTGGGATACATCTTCTGGTAGTGTTACATCGAATGACAGAATTCCAACTTCAGCGCAAGCTCTTTTCTTGTTGCGGACATAAGTCGAGGAATCTTTACGCGCTCCAACCAGAATCACAGCCAAGCCGGGTACATTTCCTACAGACTCCTTCATCTTGGACACTTCAGCTGTGATTTCCTTCCGTATTTGATCTGCGATTGCCTTTCCATCGATTATAGCTGCTTTCTGACCTGTTGCAACCGAATAAGGGACGAGAAGCATTACTAACGTCAGCCTTCTGTACAACTACAAACCACTACAATTCCATGTCAAAGATCTAGTACCAGCATTACCACAAATTTTTAAACAGAAATTTATTCCATTTGGCGTCACTGAATTCACCAAAGGGATCTCTAACTACATACATTACAACAATCGAGTTAAAAAAAAAAAAATCCTTAAGAATCACAGACAGGGTAATGTAATGCAATATTATGCAGACCAAACACTCGAAAAAAGTCAAGAGAAGCTCTAATGCCGTCATTCAACTGCACAGAAGACATTCTGCAGGAACAGATTATAAGTTCAAGAAACCGGAATAATGCTTACAATGAGTTGCAATACCAGCTTTCTACATCACATCCATTACATACACCTAAATTATATCTTCTTATGAAAGTGTTCTACTAACAATGTAGTAGCCTCTGAAAGGCAACATACAACGAATTACTTATGTAGCCAAGGAAACCTATGAAGTGGAGCACTATGATTGAGAGACTTTCAATACCGAATAAAACATAAGCTTTGATTTATCCACCAACTCGAACAGGTCCCACCGACATTACTCGTGGCCGATGTACTAGAAAGTTAGGAAGATGCTTTCTCCACAATCTAACAATCACAAGCAACTCATACCCGTTCCACAACTGCTGGCACTAGTTCCAGCATCCTTACCAGTTCCAGTCACAGTGGCAGACGAGGAATTGTGAGAAGCATCCCCTGTTCCCTCCATTGTCGGCAAGATACCCCTTCCTGCCATAAAAAAACAAAAAAAACAAAAAAAAACAAACAAACAAACAAACAAACAAAACCCAAAGTAATGTCAATCCAGCCCTTGTAATCAAAATCTTCCACTTCTCACCTCCCCATAGAGCACATTGCATTCGCACACGCCACACATTAGGCAATCCCAGGTTCACAACTGAGAATAACGCGCAAATTCGGAACGGAAAGAGGTCCTGGCGCCGTAAAGAGATCATTCTCAGTTCAGAGAATGATTGGCATCAAATGAGAATGGCAGTACGACAAGGAAAACAACAAGCACAACACCAGGCTGAGAAAAAGACACTCACGTATTATCTGCCTCCGAGTTGCTACAAAAACTGAGATGCATTCGATGCGAGGAGAGAGCATTAGCAGGGAAGTAGATCACATGAACCTTGCGGATCAAAGCATTGCTTCGACGGACTTGGCCTGACGGACGAACGAACGACCGTCGAAACCCCCCCTCTCATCTCGTTCGTAGTCGACGGGTGGACGATTTTCCCATCTTCGTTCGTCCGCTCTGTCCGACTGTAAATCAGGACCGCCTCCGATAGCGGTTCCGGGTATATTCCGGGTATTATATAGTGTTCAGTACCGGGTATATGCAGAGTATTAGAGAGCGTTCGACTCCGGGTGTATACAGAGTATTAGAGAGTGTTCGACTCCGGGTGTATACAGAGTATAGAGAGTATTTGATGCCGGGTATATAGAGAGTACTAAAGAGTGTTGGAGAGCTTGCGTTGGAAGATATTATCCAGTCTAATAGGATTGTATGAACAAAAACATTTTTAGTCTTAATAGGGGGATTCAAATATGGCACTTTTGTGAAACCAAGTTGGGATTCAACCATGATATTTCCAAGATCACTTGAAATCTCAAATCCAAAATATCACCATTCAAACTTTATTACCATCTTCAAGTTTTAGAAGTATCACTTAATATTTTGGTGATTTGGAAAGTCAAAGAGCAATGTGTTGTGGAGTCGAAGAGGGAAGAGAGTTACAACAAGCAACACAGTTTTTGGTATTTTCACTCATCCCTCTTTTGATATTTGGATTTCAAAATCCCCCACCTTGCAAAGTGGGTGATTTGGTAAAATATCAAGTGATATTTCAAATATCATTAGATACTTCAAGATCTCATCATGGATGAAACCCCCCTAATGATGATGATTGGCATGTAGCTATCACTTTGATTGTTGCACCAAATATTGTTGTATTAATTAATAGTAAATTGAACTGATTATTGTTTAGAAATATTTGTAGAAATTATATCTAGGTTTTTGACAAGAAGCCTTTAAACGTAAGATGTAATAGAATAAGTATTTAGATTTGAAAAAATAATAAAAAGCTTCACTTGGTGTGGATCGTACTATTAGCCAATATCAGATAAAGTTTTCAAATTTGATTTTTTTATTTTTTTAATCCTTTTACATACTTCATAAATATTTACAATTCAAAAATATCATTAAATTCTGTTTTGAATGGTGACATTATTTTATGTAACAAGGATTTGGTAGTTTCTTAATTACATTCTGTGCTTGAGTTATATTATTCAAGATATTACATGAATTTATTATTTAGTGGCATTGGACAGCTTGCTCATGATTAGGTGCATGATTTTACTTGTGCTCAAGTTGTATGATCTAATTGTTATATGTCTTTTTAATAAAAAAATAAAGTATATTCTTTCATTGATCATAAAAAATTTCTATGCAATAATTTTTTTTTAAGTAAAAGGTGTACAAACTTGTAAATATTTTAGGAATAGATATTAATCACTCAAAATTTAAATTTTTGAAAATACAGATGACATGACCATTGTGTTTATTTCTTTATAACTTGCAGCTAAGACAATAATGCATTCAAGTAGAACAGGAAAAAAATTCAAATTACTTTGAATAAATTTTGGATATAATACTATTTACAGAGTTTTAATATATATCTAGTAATATCTAAATTAATTTCATGAAACTTTGGGTTTTAATTTGGCATATCAAAAAGATTCTCAGTAAATTAATTGAATCCAAATGCCTTTTTTAATGTACCATTGCATACTTCCTAGTTCTTCAATAGTATTTCTGAGTTCTCCACATAAAAGAAGCAATTTGAGAAACTAGTAAAAAAATTATTTATATATTGTCACTTTTTTCTCTCAAAATCATATCAACTTCATTGCATGTTGATATGATCATTTTAGTGCGTTGAGTTGCTGCAGTGTATCTAATTTTCCTACATTTTAAAAAACTCCTTTGAACACAAACATGATCTTGTGATTTTGAATATCAAGGTGTGACCTTCACATTATTGAAGCTTAACTTGCCTTCTATAATACAGTCAATACATGTTCCTCACAAAATAATCTCTTGTGAAAGCATTGTATATGATTCTAATTTAATGATAATTTAAATTTTGTTCATTTCTAAACAAAAAATGAAAGTTGCAAAAATAATAAATTTACTTTCTCAAATTCCAATTACGTCATTTTTAGATTTATGCACAATGTTTTTTTTACACAAAAACCAAATCTGTTTACATGTTGCCTTGAATGAATCTATGCACATTTTTTCTTTTTTCACAAAAGATACTTTAACACAGTTCGATTAAAAGTTTGAATGCATGAGCTCCAATATCTTTGTTCCAAAATTGAATGGTTGACAATATTTTTGCATTGATAATACAACAATGGAATGATTTGGTTGTATAACGTTTCCATAAATGTATTTTGTATCACTACATACGCACTTAATCATAGAAATTGCTTTTTCTGTAGGAAATTGTATTTCTATTTTTACACAATTCAATCACAGCATGCCCTCAAAGAGTAAAGATAACTCCACCAACATTCTTGTGAAGCAAGTGCTGAAACAATCTCCCTTATGGGTTCAGTCTATACACATCATTCAATAACCTAGAATCTATGGTTGTAACACACAGTCAACAGCTGACTGTACCAATGGTGCAGCAATTTGACCTGAGATCTATTGCATATATAAAATAGACTGGTTGCGTGTAGCAATCAGACAATAAGAACGTGCTTTTAGAAGACAACTTCGAGTGAACGACAGCACATGCCGGAACTGTTCTCTTTAGAGTATTATAAACCAATAATTCAGATTACAACTTTTCGATGATGAATTTGTGTACCTCCTTTCAGGTTGGTATCTGCTGATCTGGTTGATATCACCCTACTGTGCCAGCAGAGGCAGACTAGGAACCTCCAATTGTTGTAGCACCGAGACACAATATTCTGAAACCCAACTCTACTTAAATACATTAGTAAGCTTGAAATGATATAAACTAAAGCTTTGCGGAGGTGAATTCCATAAGGAGAGAACGTTTCAAGACAACAATAGACCAATGAATTTCGCACATGGGGTACATTTACCCTGAGTGGTTTCTTTTGTTCTATCATGTACACTGTAATGGTACACAAGTAGTGATTTGTTGTTTGACCATTTTATACTAAATTAAGAATCACAATTAGTAGAAGCACTAAGTAAACTACCTCCAAAAGAATGAAGGGTTTTGTATTTGAATAGCAATGATAAGGTAACAAGATGCATCTTGTTGTAATAACAAATCTCAATACGTGTACATCTTCAAATGTGTTCTGGCACTCATCCGTTTCCTGTTCATGCCGCTTCCTCGCCAAAAGGGGCGTCGAGATTTCTTCAAGAGGACACATCAGCTGATTCTGGAGTCTCCGGCTCCATTTTCCGAAGCTGCTCCAGTCGCCTTAATACGTCTAATCGTTCGGGTCCATAAGCGCTTGGGATCTGCAGCTCCATGTCAATGGACAGGTTATCGATGTTGCGAGAAATACTTTGCAGTCGATCAAAATTTGTAAAGCAAACAGCTTAACACCTAGACATCAAAAGAAAACCTAGTCTCCAAGGGCCTCCTTCCTTCAACAGAACGATAAGTACATGCAGCGGGATGTTTGATGTTAAGTTCAATTGCTTTTCACAGTGCACTGCAAATATCAGTCAAATACTCTGGAGCATCCATCATTAAAGAGATGAAGAACTTACCAAACCAGGAGCATATTTTTGGATCGCAGCTAGAATTGCAGCATGGCCAACAGCAGTTACCTGCAGAGCCCACCAGAACTTGTTTGTCAATCACAAATGTCAGATGCAGATTAGCTAGCTTCTTATGTGACAGCACCCAAGGTACCAACTAGGGTTCTTTCGCTGCAGAGGTGCACTGAAGCGTTCGATGGAAACATAGCGAAATCAAAAAAGAGTATTCAAAAGTTTGAAATTCGCTTGAAATTTCCAGATCCTCAAAATCCTTACAGGCAGGAGCATTAAAATGCCGATGGGTACAACAGATGCCATGTCGGTAACTGTGCGTTTCAATATCTTCTTCTCGCGGCTGGTCAGTTTTTGACCTAACACTTTCCGCCTTAGAAGAACCAGAGAGGTTCCTACGTCCGTACCCAACAAACATGAGCCCCGCCATATATCCTGTATAAAAAGGAATCCATAAATTAGCAATGCAGATGGAAGCACAAACGAGAACGAGTTTACCAATGAACTAGTTTTGCTCAACCTTGTAAGACTAACTTCAAGAAAGTAAGACTACCCGGTCAAAAACATCCAAACAGTATTGATGGGAGTGTATGAGATCTTACAAGGCTAGCATTTTTCAGCTTTTCAATCGATTTTCTGAAGAAACCATAATCAGACAGATCCACATTTTCATCTATTCTAGCTAAGGCAGTTGTTGTGGCAATATCATATACAGATGCCCTCTTCCACTCCTCCTGTGACAATGACTGTAGCATGAAGAGATTCAGAATTCAAGTTGCTAGAAAGGCAGTAAATAACCATCAATATCTTATACAAGCACGACATCAGACTACATTTTTCATTCTAAACAATAGGTAAATAAACAGGTCACTACATAAAACAATTTGACCCCTTCATCTCAATTTCAGAAAAGACTACTTGAAAGTAAATAAAAAACTGAAGACATTTTACCCGTAGAGAGGCTGATTGAGCAGCAGATTGCTGAATGCGAGCCTCAAGCTCAGCCAACTCTGTCATCAACCGCTCAAATGTATTGACAATCTTTGAATCTAAAATAGTTGCCTCTACAGTTTTCTCGTCCTGAATGCCCACGTCAAGTCACTTATTAGAAACCTTACCTGCAAGAATTGTCAATTTTGCAAAGAAAACACTGTCCTCCTAATAATTCTTTTCAAAACGCACGCACAACTTAAAACGAATTAGGCAAACTACTTGACGTAGAATACTTAATCATTACATGGTTAAGCAGGTGCAATGTATGAACAGGGCAGAAACATACATATTTGTTTGCTACGTCTGAAAATTCGCGATTCCTGAGACATCCAACTGTAGCGGTCAGAAAAAATTCATGACTTCAAATTCTATCCCAACCAAGCTCGTAACTTTGATCTAAAATCTGCAACAGTTTTCATATATAAAATATAGAAGTTAAAGAAGGAGGGTTCTTGAAACCACAAAAAACTGATTCATATACTGCAACTTAAAATCAAAGTACCTTTGAAACTGCAAACTCGTGTCGTCTACAGTGGTTCCCGAATTGCGAACTTGATTGTTCCTACTATTATCCATCTCCTGCTCAGCATTTGGAACCAACCGAGCAAACCGATGTGAAACCAAATCAGCACAAAGTTTAGCTGTATAGATTCAAACCATGGTTTCAACCCAGGATGCGATGAAATTGACATTAGAACAATTAGAAGACGACCATCATGTGAAATGGAGGAAGAAAAAACTACAATAGCACCCCAGGTTACATCACCAACCTCAAGTTCAACAATCCTCATTTCCTTCGCAGCCGCTTTAGACTTGAGAGACGCCTTATAAACTTCGACATCCTGTTTCAGAGACCTGATCTTATCCAGATCCGCGCGTAGTCGTCCACTTTCTGCCGAGTCAGTCATCTCAGACTCCTTGACCAGCAATTCCAATTTCGATAAGGCAATATCCACGCATTGCATTTCCTGCACCAAACATGTCAGATTGGGTTTCCAAAACATTGAGAAAGCCATGAACACAGTTGAATCGTCTTCAAGATCGTAGCAATCAAAGGAGCCTCGCACAAAAGAAGGCAACACTGACGTGTGAAACTGTACATTGAGATGAGGCAACGGAGTGACCCAGGATAAATGATTAAGCACTGCACAATTCAGGCTAAGCAGAACTGTTCGGATTCAATAAGCCTGTGACGACAATATAATCTATCCCAGCAAAAACAACGGGAAGAAAGCATTCAGCCACCTTGTCTACGGTTTTTAATAGTTGATCCACCTCATGTAAAATTTTGCGCTCTACTGCAAGCTGACCATCCGTACTTAATGGTTCTAAATCTGAACCAAATCTGTCGGCCCCGCTGGTACTGGCCTCCTCTGCACACCTCTCTTGCAAATTTTGATAAATAGATCCGTTCATGTTTCCCCCTTCAGCTACTCCATTCCTGTTTCAAAAGCAGAAAATAATTGAACTTAGGTCATGAACAAGATGTTGTCATGAATGTATTAGCATTTATCTAAATTCCTAACCCGCAGAATCTCCATTGTAATTGCAATGGAATAAGCCAAAGGTTACAAACAAGTATGTTAATCCAAAGGAGTTCCCCTTCAACTTATGTAACACAAAAAAAAGTATAGTTGTTTGATAAAAATCATGCCAAGAGAGTAAGTAACAAGCCACACCCAAGAAAGTCAAAACTTCAAATTACTATCAAGGAGTAAGAAATAAGCAACTAAACGGGTGTTTCTCAACGCTATGCATAACTATAGCGAGAAAATAACTCTAAAATAAGACGTGTTAGGTCACAAGGTTCCATAAATTGGGGCTGCAATCAACTATCACATACAAGGTTCAGGGGATGATGATGAAGAAGCCAACAAACTTACCAAAGGCTATCATCTTTTCTACTACGCTTCACAAGCTCGTAAACTTCGTTACACTCTTCGAGGCGCTGTTGGCTGCACAGATAGACAACACGACAAGATTGTCTACATGTTACGGCTCCGATTCAACTTTTTGCAGTGTGCTGTCAAAACCCAGCGGTAATAGCACAAGGAACAATGTTCAGCACCATACTGTTCAAAAACTAACAGCACAAGTCAATATTACCTTTTCGAAAGGAATGTTGCAGCTCGAACGCCTTCTGGTTGCCGTATCCACACATTGTGCTCGACAAAGCTCTTAAGCCATATCGAGCAGACCTGAGCAGCTACGGCTATTGCCAGCAGCTTCTCTACCTTTCCAACTTCAGACTTAACTTTATCATTCTCTTCGTGAGCTCCGTGATTTATAACTGCAGTAGTCACTGGATAAAATGGAAGCCAGTCCATCTCTTCGCAAACTACCTGCATACGCACGAGCGCCAAGTCACCTTCATCAGCCAATACTGTGGTCCGCTCCTTTTGAAGGCCATGTTTTCATGGACCAGTGCAAAATTCTGAAGTCCTTACAAAGTGATAAAATATATTTGGTTAAAAACACAGCCAAGTATTGAAAAGCCCCTTAATTGACCCTCGAACTCGGAAACCGGAAAAGACTATTACAGCAAACAAAGCTCGTTGTAAAGTTCAAGTAGCCGAGAACACAACAGCTTTACTGGTATACCCTCAACAAAAATGACATGCCTGTACGAGACTGACCTCAATAAAGAGTTGGTAGACGGGTATTGTTGCCAATTGGGGGTAGAAAAGCACGCTACCACCTTCCATATACCTAATTCAAAAGTTTCGCTTAGAAATACCAATACTCACCAGACAAACCAAGATATTTCATTTTGAAAACCGAAGAAATCGATGGATACTGATTGCAGTAAAGAAACATCACGATTTCAGTAAGAGATTTCATGCATCATGTTCCAATATAGAAACCATTGAGGGTAATCATGGCTTTTTCATATGCTTACCTAAGTAGACTTTCAACAGATTCCTCTGAGTCGCTAACACCTTTAGATGCCAAGTAAGCTCGAGTATTTCTTCCTAAAACAGCAAAAAAACCGAAAACCGCTAGATCCATTTCAAGTACCTGTAGACACCACCCACATGTCAGACTAAAAGTACGAGAAACTGAAGTGACCAGCCATACTCTTCCAGTAGAAAATAACACATTTGGTTTGAAGCAAGTGGCAAGACCACAAATATCCTGCCCATACCTTATTCAGAAGGACGTGATTGAAAGATAAAATGAAAGTGTATCTTGACAGTTAATGTAATCAGTGATGTTAAATTTATATTAAGCTCGAAGCTGCTCACCTCAATAGGGTCTCGAGATTTAAGTCTTAACCTAACACCCTCCCTGATAAGAGCTTCCCGCAGAAGCTGATGCACAAGGTATACCCAGAACTCTCCTTCCGCGGCGTCCCGCCATTTCTTATCATCCGCAGCTCGAGAACCAAAATTTTCCAAAAATTGCCGCTTTAATCCAGTATCCGAGCAGAACCGATAGACCTGGTTCATTGGAATGAATTCCTGTAGCTTCTCCATGAGATGAGAGATTCTTTGCAAAAGAACCAAAGAAAATATAGGGTTCGAAACTGGGGCGGAGCCAAGAAGCAATAATGCGGCAGTGGTGCTGATGGCCAATTTCAAAAGCTCCACATCACTCTCATCAGACAGCTTTGATGCATCATCCCTATGACATACGAAATACACAGAACTTCAGGGTTAAAATTGTCTAGCGGAGCACAAGAGAGATCTATCTAGTTCTTTTCAAGGACATGTAATTCTTTGTCAAGCAGGGTACCCAGTACAATCGCCTCGTCACATATTCATTAAGCTGGAAAAGTTTTCAGCTCCAGAATAACTTCGAATAAAATGAAATCGCTAATAAAATCATTCTTTCAAGATATTAATTTTTTTTTTAGAGGGACAAATTACAATAACATTATATCATAGAGATATCAAAGTAGATATCGAGCTGTGATCTTTTGCAGACATGTAGCAGTCACTGCTTTTCACAGTCATCTGTAATTATAATGACAGAGGTATGGAAATATGTACGTGGAAGTGATGTTGAAGCGATTGTCGCCCTCCAGAATTCTGACAAAATTTGACGTTGCAAGTGGAAGCTGTTTCAACCAAAGCCAGTCATCAGCAGCAGGATCCCTGGATGATAACTCATGTCTGATAGAGTCTTCTAGCGGGGATGATATCTCCAATAGCCTGCACCCAACAACGAAAAACATTTCGCATGCTACTTCAAAAGGGAACCACGCATTCTTAAGAAAATAAGGTATCCACTTTATCATTTGTGCTACTTCAAGATTCAAATATGTTTACTCGTGTATGCGAAGGGAGACAGAGGCATGAATATATGTCTCCTTGTCTCCAAACCCTTTCTAGTCTTTGAAAGTGAGGAAACACTTGCCACTGCCTCCAATACAAAATGTCGAATAGGAACACGTAAAAGTCAGGTCTGAGCAGCACTAAATGTATTCATTCGAAAAACCCTGATACAATTGTTAAGAAGACAAACCTGCGCTGCACGAACACATGGGTACTTCTATCCTTCCCCTCACCTCGGGCAGCAATGTCAATAACTGATTGAAGGAGAGAGTGCACCGCAGCCTGTCAAAGAACCAAACTATATCTCAACACTTGTAAAAGATAACTTACTCAGAAGATTAGAATCCAGCATTCTTACTGTCACAGACAAGAAGAAACTTTCTATTGTCGCTTGCCGATAATTACTTCAGCGTCACCCTGTTGTTTGCAGATACTCTATCATGAATGGAGAAAGTAGAATCTAGACGAAAATCCTCTCCCGAAAACCTTTAGATTTTTCCAGAGAAGTTTGTATTATCTTCCATTTCATTATCAGCCCTGTATATTATCTAGTGCTAAAGCTTGCTCACCATTCAAAATCGATACAATTTCCAAAACCTAGTCGAGTCTTTACTGGAAAACCAACTGCTCTGTCTCCCAAACAGCCAGTTACCCTGCGAAATTAGGGCTGCTCAATCCAGACAGTGCAAAGCTCCCGTCAACTAATTGCTCATGTGCGCCCGTTCGATAACTAATATCACCAGGCAATTATGAAGCCACCAAGTTCCTTTGCAAATGGTACAGAATTAATCAAAATAAACAAAAACCAATACAATCGACGAACCTGATAGGATAGAGACTTCATCCACGCATTATTATCCATACGAAACCACTTGGAGGGGAACCAAGACGTGCTAGTAAGCAACTTCTGCTCCTCCAACTCGGCCAAAATCACTCTTGCCGTCTCGTGCATCGCCTGCACTAATCTCCTCCCTTCCTTGTCCCCCCCAATCCCCTCCGTCAATTCCTCTAAACTCCGCCCAATCTCCACTCTGCTCCCTTTCCTCTCGTCCACAGCCATGCCCTCCACCGATTTCGACGTCGCCGCCACAACTAACACACTCCTCACCCTCCGCTGGCCATGTCCGTATCCACACCCCGACCCCGCACCCTCTACCGCGCCAATCCACAGCTGCCTCCGCTCCAAACCATGGCCAACTCTCCTAAGACCCACGACGCACCGCCTCGCCTTCCTAAACCTACAAAATCGCACCTCCCGCAACACTACATTCCCGCTGCTGCACCACGCCTTCGCGGGCGCCTGGACCGCAGCGCACACAGCCTTCTCCATGAAGAAAAGGCTCACCCCCTCCCTTTCCCTTGTTCGTCGTTCCTCACCTCCTCACCCCTTCAACATGCTCGACTCAAACTCTACCCTCAGCTCTCCTGAACTACAACCAATTGCAAAATGCATAAATGAACAAACACCATACGCAAGCTCAGTCTCAGCTGGCTCGTGTTGCAGCAAGAAGGGAGGGATGGAGAGAGGGAGAACGGGGAAAAAAGGAGCCTTCAACACAAGGAGTTTGTGGCGTCAACAAGTTCCGTCATCAACAGGTTCCGCAGTGTGTGTCTCCACAGTTGGTAGTTTATCCCATCCTGGATTAAACCCGAATATCAACCCAACCGACGCCCGGATAACATTACCCCTCCTACCCCTCTCCCTCTTCCATCCCGTGTATGATCCAGAACCACCCGGGTATGTGATGACACCCAGTTTGCTTGCCGGCTGATTCTGTAGGATTGTCTTCGGAAGAACTTCAGGGTTGGAATTCTATCAGCTGGTTTGCAAATAGAATAATCATAATAATAATAAGTTGGAAATTTTGCAAGCGGGTTTTATGTCTAGAAGTCAACTTTGAAAAGTCGTAGTTTTAAAAAATTTATGAAGAATTTTATAGCGGTTGATGAACTATTATTCGGAAGCTTTAGTTTCTGGGGTAGTGTACAGTGAGAGGTAGCTATGAAAATGGAGCGCACCAATTCTAATTATTCTCGTTTAGGTGGAAAATTTTATTTTAATTGTATTTCTCTATTTTGAACCTTCGTTCTCACCTAAACCGCATTTCTCTGTCCATTAAAAAATAAAAATAATAAAAATATCAAAAATAATTTTGTGAGGAAAAACCTTTGGAACCATAGAAGATAGCAATTTATTTTTTTTTTTTTTTGAATTGGCAAGCAAATTTCAAAATTGGATTGAATGTTAATAATCAAGAGAAAATTAATTTTATAATAAAAGAAGAATATCTGCCATATAAATTGATTATAAATATTGTCTATCTAGTAAGACGTTAATATACAACATATTTAAAGACTCCAATAAAATTTGCAACCATATGAGACAAATTAGAATCATGTTTCATCTTCTATTTATATGTATGTAGAAAGATTACTTAAAATCTTGATAGATGTACTGAAGATAATATTGAAATATATTGATGTGTCTTTGAGAATGATCCTGAATATTGTGATTATACACATTGTGCTGTGTAACTTATGTGTTACAAGAAAATGCAAGTTTGATAGAAGTTTAATTTATAAAGCCAAGAGATACTTAAAAATAAATTGATTGACGGCAAATTGAAAAAAATACATGAATTACACAAAGAACATTTATCAATTTCTAAGATATAATACAGAAATCCAATTTTAACGAGGATTCTAAAACATGGAGAGAAAAAGTTATAAAAAATTTTAATCATAATTATAGGTAAATAAAATTGTATTATAAAATAATAAATTGAAAAATGCTACAAAGATTAATAAAACTATAATAAAATTTTAATAGAAGCATAAGCTTGTGATATGAACTAGAAATATATTTGCAAATTCTTGTGATTTGGATAGTATCACACAGTAACTACAATTCTTTTTTAATGACCACTATATAACATTCCATACTGTTTAAAAACTCTTCATCTATATCGCCTTTAATTGCAACTAAGTGTTCTAACATATAATCCTTCTATATGGTTAAAATAACATCTTTTTTTTCTAATTTTTCTTGCTGATTAATTAGTTTTAATTAAATATATATCTTCTGTCAAGAAAGCTAGTAATATAATAAACTTCAAGTTTTCTAAAATAGATAATCGTGTCATTTATGTTTTCTATTTTTAATACATTGATCAATTATTTGTTTTATATTTGCATTTTATTATGAAAATTAAATTTTATTACCAATGTTTTTCTTTATAACTCCTTTTTAGTTTTTATGTTATAATTAGAAGTATTATGAAACAACAAACTATTTGTAAGTTTCATCAATACAATATATATATTAATAAGATATAAGAGAGGAGAACTATTTAGTAAGATAACAATTGTTGGGTCCTGAAATTATTTTATTAGAAATATAAATCTTTACCATTGATATTTTTGTAATACTACAATTCCATCAACAGTATTGTGAAAATTTGATATGTGATTGGCTGAATTCTTTTAAATATCTTGTTTATTTCCTTTGCCAAATATTTTTTCATACTCTTTACCAAATATTTCAAAAAGTTTGAATAGATTTCACATATTGGTTGACAATTATTTCAAACAATCACAAATGAGAATATTTCAAAAAATTCAACCAATCACATATCAATTGAAATTTAGAGAAGCAAGAAATAAACAGAACTTAGTGGTGACTCTTTTTTATTAGATATTTAGTCAATGAAGGAATTTCAAAGATAGAATCCAATTTTTATTTTATTTTTAATATACAGCAATAATGTGCATATATATATATATATATATATATATATATAAAATCAGTATCAATATTATGAACATATTAGGAAATTTATTTAAAATAAAATCTTAAGTTAAAATAGTTTCATTAAAATCGTAACTGTTGAATTTTCAAATTAATCTAGATTTTTAGTAATCACAAAAATTCAATATTATACATCATAAAATTTGATTTAAGAACCTAAAAAGAGTATTACAGTGAGAAAGAATGAAGATTTTATATTTCTTTGATTCATTAGACATTCTATAACAACTATAATTTACTCTAGTCATTTTCGAAAATTTCAGATAGTGCTTAGTAAAAATATAGAAAAATAAAATAGCAATATTATATCTTCTCTTGTTGAGAGATAAAAAATATTTACAGATAGAATTTATAAGTGAATGCTAATTAGATATATTTTGTAACTAGATGAAATAGTTTTAATATATACTTTTTGAAAATATATCTTTTTATAAAGTAATTATTTTTCACTTATTTGTGCATCTTAATTTTAGTTTAATATTTTATAGCACAATGCTAACAATTTTGATTTTAGTTCAATTATTGAAGCATATATTATTCTTCAAATAAAATATTAATAGAATTATAGTATAGTTTTTGCTAAGTAAATACTCATAATCTTATTTAGAAAATTTTAAACTATAATTCTTGATGAAATTCAGTTTGAAGTTTTAATATTTTTCCTTAAAAAATTTTAAAATATAAAAAAAAAGAGAATATACATTATTTATAATATGGAAAAATTTATTAAAAAAACGAGAACATCAATGATTGCTTAGAACCATAGAGTTTACATTTTAAAAATGTTACATTATACTATATATTTCTCTCACAATTGATTTATATATTTATATAGATATATATATATAGATATGTAACTTCTGTTATAATATTTTAAAACTATTCATTTATCTGGTACTTTATTATTTTATTAGAATACTGCTGATGCCACCACAATTTTTGTTGTTGCCACAACAATCTGCCATCCACTCAACATATTTTTTAAAAATTTCTTTTTACTTTTTACTATTTAAAAATAAACAAAATCTAAACAAAAAGAATGTAGAGACAAAGGTTGAATTTTGAAGCGAAGCTTGAAAGGAATTGAACATGCCACGAGTTCATGCATATCCACGACACCCATAATATACAAAACTGTTCACTCATGCCAGCTTTAAAAAAATAAAAAGTTTCAAGTTATCACTGTGCTAAAGCGAAAGGCAGCGATAAAGTTGCTTTTTAGCAACCGTGTCGTCAAAGACCAGTCAGTTCATGTGTGGACGGACGACCGCGGTAGGCGTCTAGAGGTCGCTCGAGTGAGACGGTTGAATGGAACCTATTCAACTACCAACTACCTCCCCCATCACGTGAATAATACTTTGCACTCCCATCGATGGATGTTGAGCTTCAACTCAAGCCCGCCGGATTTGCATCCGACTTTTTCGATTCCAGGCATTACAACTTGTATCGCTCACTGTTACTTCGATCGCAGTAACGCAGTAAATTAGGGTTTAGTGGCATGGCAGAGAGAGACAATTTAAGCACAGACTGTTCTGCTAACAACCTCGTGTTGGTTTGCGTCGTCTTCATCACGCTGTGTCTTCGTTCACATTCTGCAGTACTCTGAAATGCTCACGGGTTAATGTTTTGAGGAGAGATGTGACTGAGTGGTGTCAGTAGATTTTTTTTTCTTTCACGAGCTCTGGGACGTAGATCCGGCATTTGCTAACTTCTCGTCTGCGGGTGTTTCACACATGGAGGTAAAGGGTCTGTGATGTTCCCTGTATTTGTTTTTGCTTCCACTGTTAGTTCACAGTAATGTTCCTGCATGTTTGGCGCATATATGCATGATGGTCACCGAATTTATTTTTTTGTCTCGCGGATGCATACAAGTGTTTTGTAAACTGCATTTAATCGTATACCATTGCATGATTACTACAAAGATACAAAACCCTTTTGAGGAGAATTAAAGTTTGCTCAGTGTGGTAGCGCTTACGCTCCTGTTTCGTATGTAAATCACGTTACAGCTACATTTATTGCTATGTTCTTCAGGGAGATGAATCGGAGAGCATTTCAAAGGTTCTAATGATAATTGAATGTGGTTAATGGTCAGATTCTGTCGGGGATTGCTGTACCAGGACTCAACGTGGTTGATGAAAATACCAGAGAAAGAAACGGGAAAGAACCAGAAATAAGTACTCTCGCCACTATTCGAGGCAAGAACCATACACATCACATCGTTCTTATTAATAATAAGAAACCCAATTTTTAGGAGCCAGAGAAACAGGGTCACTGCTGTCCGAAGTCGGAAGAATCGCGCTTATGGTCAGTAAACTACACACCAAAAAAACCAAAAACAAAAACAGAAAAGACGAAGTAATTATCTCTCTTCCCTGCGATTTGATTTGCGATTGAACAGATATTGAAAAGGGATTGGAGGCAAATCTACAAGAGTGCATGAACTTCCTACAGGTTTTGACAGAGGATAATTCAAGAAAGGAAATCGCAGCTGAGTGGGCTAACAGAGATGAACGTCAGTTTCCAGAACTTGAAGTGTTCCATGCCATGAGGCCGAACACAGCTCCGCCCAAATCTGCCACGCACCTCCAAGAGCACCTAGTATTTGTCCGAGGGGTTTCATGTGAATTTGATTGCAGTACGGTGGAGTCTGAGAGTAGCTGCGATTCGAATAAGCATCTTTTTCAGACAGTTTCTAAGATCGATTTAGAAGGGGATAATGTGCCTTTGAGGAACAAGACCGCACAACAGGTACATCCGCATCATGATTGCTACGCGGTGAAAACACTGCCCAGTAATTTGTTACTTGTCGACGAACGCATCCGAACTTTGTCGACCGAGCCGATTACTGAAATCCCCTCCCCGAAGTTAGCGGATTCGTCCACCGGCAATCAAAATGGCAAAGTAAGCCACTCGTAAGTCCGTTGTTCAACCTCGTCGCAAAGTAGAAAAGATTGTAAAGGTGTGAGATTAAGCAGGCTTATGTTTTCGTCTAATTTCTGGATAATTTACTCGCAGGTGAGTGTGTGTGTGCGGATGAGACCTTTTAACGAACACGAAAAAGTGTGCCCCCTAAAACAGGTCTCACACTTCTCAAATATATAGGAATTTTTCCCAGTATGCTCCCGGTAACTGAGGATTAAGGTGTTATTCTATTCGTCTGAATATGCTTCTGAAGTATCTTACTCTTTGATAGAGCGTAATTTTACCGAGGAAGGTGCCCTTCCAGCGAATTGGTTGCTTGGGTTCGGTTCAAACTGGATTGCTTTGTTGAAGATGTTATCTAGCTCCACATTGATCATAGTTTCTGTTTGCCTCGCAGGTATTGTGCTCTCAAAAGAACAAAGTGGTTGTGAAGGATTATAATTATCTACGCCAGGGCAACCCCATGAATAAATCCAAAGTGGAGTCTCAGTTTGACGTGGATAACGCATTGGACGATAGCTTTCTACCTCGCGGTAATCGACAGCGGAAGGAGGAGTCTCAGAGATGTATGTTTGAAATTCTTGGCAGACCTTGTGTGGAAAATTCACTGGACGGTTTCAATACTACGGTATGACTCCTCGTCATGCATAGAATTGGTCACAGTCATCATACATCAGTCCCTAACCTTTTAGGAACAGTGGCACGCTTGGAATGTCGTGACTGTCTCTTTTCAACTGTTATACTCCGATCGATGTTGTAGGGAAGAAGATTCTCAGAGTTTTCTGTGCAGTTTTGGCTCATATAGAACCGGCAGTGTTGTCCTTTGAAGCACATCCTTCAATCTGGTCCTTTCCAATAGGTTGTAAGTTATGAAAATAAAGCGGTAGATCAAACAAAGCTAACTTCCAGTTGTTCAGATTATGACCTACGGGCAAATGGGATCTGGCAAGACGTACACGATAGTGGGAGACGGTACAACTTGCGGCCGAGGTCTAGTGAGTTAAATTGTTTAAATTCCTCAATTGGACACTTCTACGCATCTCTAGGTTTCAAAATGTTTGTACACACTCCAGGTTATGTGCAGTTTATCAACGGCACATTTGTGTCTCATCTTTTGTTTTGACATGATTAATTGGGGACATTAATTTATAGATTATTTTTATTTTCTATTTCATTTTTCGTTATAAATTTAACTTATTTTTTGCCTTGGCAATATTATGAGAAAACTTGAATTCCACTGGACTGTTGAACTGAAATTGATATATTGGAAGGTCAAATAGGTGCCTAGGATTGTGAATGAGTTGATGCGTCGTGTTCAAGACGATCAAAGTAGCGGTGTCCACCTCACCATTCAGGTGCAATTTTTTTCCACGACAGAAATGAACGGAGCTTAGTAGATTTATTTTGTATCTAAAACAACATTTGGATATTCCATTTTTCTTCTTTAACTTTTATTTCTTTTTGTGACTTACTGGTATGCGATTTGAGAATCCATTAGTGATATTACAGAAAGAGTCCTCTAATATTTCTCTTGCCTTTATATCCTTTGAACATGACCTGTTCTCTTAAAAAAGAAATTATAAAATTAGTCAAAATATGCTTCACATGACAAAACACGTTTTGAATCGAAGTTTTGCATACATAAGGGGAAAATCACAAACAGGTTGTGGAACGTCCAGGTGAGCTACCTTGAGATCTACCAGGAAAAGGTAAGGGACCTATTGGTTGACAAGAAAGCTGAACACACAGCAGAAGAATCTGGAGTGAATTGCAGCTTAAGATGCACTGAGTTGCCGCTCATAGATGGGGGAGGCTCAAGCTTCTTCCTTCATGGGCAAGTCAAAGACCAATTGCGGGTTCGGGAGCATCCTGAAACGGGTACTCAATTTGTTTTAAGATGAAAAAATTGAATTGAGTTACAGCTATTTGTGCTTGAACTGCTTATCAATCACAGTCCTCGCTAAACTGGCGGGATGTAGCTGTAGAGTACTACCAGTCTCCTATTCTGACATTGATTTATTTAGTTGTCAAGACTGAAGGGGTCATACTCTTCTGGTTGGCAGGTACTTATGTTGAAAGCCCTAGGTGGAAGGTTGTAACAGCCCATGAGGAGATGGACAAACTTTTGAAGTTAGGAGCGGCGAATAGGATGTTGGGGTCGACAATTTCGCATGCTAGGCTATCCAGTCGTGGTCACACGCTCTTTACGATCAAGATTACAAAGGTGTTCAGTTTGTGTCCGCTCGCATTGTAGGTTGTTTCAGGCTTCCGAATTGCGGATATAAGATTCTGGAAGTGCTTAGGAAATAGTGTGTTTGGGGAAGGTGGTCAGTCTATTATTAGCCTTGCTATTTTCTCCTGTTTTTAGATTTGCGACTGAACGTTTCTACCAGAGTATTAATGTCTTTCTTCAAACCATCTTGTTTAACATTCTCGAGACTTCTTCCTTTGAAACTTCGACATTGTACAGGAGTCTTTGGGTGTAAGTCTGCGCATGTAAAAAATTAAGGTGCTTTTGGTTAATCATTTGCAGACAAATGAGAAATCACAACACACGAGCGTGAGCCATATTAATATGGTGGATCTTGCAGGCGAGAATTCGTACCATATTTCATTCTTGTCAACTGTTGCTGTCATTTGCACAAAGACCTCTCAAATAGAATTTTGCATAGTGAGCTGTAAGACTTTGAGCATTTATATTTTTCAGGTTTGTGTTGCCCATAAGCAGTTTGATGACATGTTGGAGTGCCCAATACTGATATATTATCATTCAAGAGCAAAGTTTTCAAAATTGTATTAGCTATGAAAAACTTAAATGTAGGACAGCTTGTTAATCTATTAAGTCTTACAAGTGTTCTGGCGTGCTGGAGCGTGCAGGTAGCGAGAAGATGGCCCTTGGTCAGAAGCCTTCAGCTGAAAGAACCTATGAATCCAAGTACATCAATCGCTCACTTGCGCAGCTCAACGACGTGTGTTTCCAACCAATCTGTCTTTATCAAGGCGAATTCTTTAGTTTGATACTCTTTAATGGTAAAATGGTATCGAAATTAATCAAACTGTAATCTGTACCTCGGCAGATGTTCACGAATCTGCCGAATGGTAGGTCGAATGGGAAATTTGTTTCTTATCGAAGCTCCGCCTTGACAATGCTCCTTCGAGAATCTCTTTCTGAGAACAGCAAAACTTACTTGGTGGCTAATATCTCGCCTGCTGAGCAGGTACAAAAAAATTCTTATTTTCTTCCCTTTGTGGAAACGTAAACATTTGGTCCCTAAATACTATTTCTTTTGACAAGTGGAAACAACTTTGCAAAATTCCAATGGGCAGGATTTCCAAGAGAGTATTCATACGCTACGGTGTGCAGCAAAAGCCAAGCGTATTCATGCCCCACCAAATCAGGATCCGGCAACGAAGAAGCAGATATTCATGAAAATGGATGAGGAAATACGCGTGCTTCAGTACCTTATATCGGATTTAACCAAGAAGCCGACGCCGTCAAAAGTTGCTGAACCGTTGAGGGCAGCGAAGGAAACGACAGATGTAGCAGAGGAGTTTCGTCCGACTGGAGAGACTGATTGCAGACGCTCGCTTCAAGAGAAGAAAGTACAGGTCTCTTCTATGCAGGTTCAAAAATTACAATGTTTTTCGTTGATTTCATCAAGCAGTCTTCATACATCCTGGTGTTGCACTACTCCAGCGGTTTTAATTCCGAATTTTATAATTTTGAAGTGAGACTAATTTTTTTAGACCAATGCTCATTTGTGAATCTTTTGAGCTGCAGCTCAGACTCCCGTCGCGACAACAAAAAGGAAAGCCAAGCTGGGCTCTGAATGCTAAGGATAGATTCGTCGTACATACAAAAATTACGTAAATGAAAACCTTCGAGGACACTTGGTAGCCTAACGGGAACGGTTTAAGAAAGGGATTTTATTGGTTGCTAAGAAGTAATAGAAGTGGTAATTCCGTTGCAATTTTGTCCACCAATGCTATTTTATTTAAAGTTTCTTCAGAGGCTTTGCTCGGATTACTGCCGCTTCTAAACTCATGCCCAAGCGAGTAATCTTAGGAATTTCTTAGTGATTTCGCTGTGTCTGGTTCTGCATAACTTAGAGCCCTCATATGAAAATATTCCTCAGGATCATATTAAGAATCCCTGTGCCTCAAGTGGGTTTTGAAAGTACTAAAAGGTTTACGGAGACTACAATTCGACGTACTAAAGGCAATTTCTTCCTCTTTGCTTTCCGAAATCTGAGAAACTGTCAAATGACGATTCGCCAAGTTAACAATTCGAGGTACTATTCGCGCCTTGTTCCTCTCTTCCCGTCCATATCCTAGGAAAACTCTGGAATAAAATCCACAATCAACTTGCCAGCAAGAGCACAGGGCCAAGACAACTCATGACCACCTGGATTCGTGCCCACGAGCCATTTGGACAGTTTTATAACACCTGCTCTACAGACGCCACCTGCAACGCAACGTGTCCTACAACTGAGAAATCTATTCAGTAACATTAAAAATTTGGAGGAGCTTCCAGATACATTCTCTTATTCTGTATCCAAAGCATCGTGCTGTTCAGGAGGTCGATTCCGATTTAGCCACTTTTACGATATTTTTAGGTTAATGATGTAAAGAAAGAAAGTCAATTCCGCTTCCTGTCCGGGATTTTAGGTCTGGGGTGGGATGACGGTGGAGGTGCGGTGGTATTGTATTGATGTTACACTCTCTGTAACAATGGTGAGTCGCCATGTGGAAGCGAGGCTTGTGATCGATACTGGGACCTGCAAGGTGTTAGGACATGTGTTGCTATAAATCTCTTGCTTGTATTCTGGCTCTCTAATTGACTGCCAAGGCACTCGTTATGCAGCATCTGAAGCTTGGAAACCACTGAATAGGTCGACTTCACATTGTGTAGATAGTTTGGGTTCGTCGCGATCTCATTAGAGGTTTGTTGCCAGAGTAGTGTTGGAATCGGAGACAGAATGGCAGGCTTGGTGAATAAGGCTAAGGATTTGGTGGCTGACAAAATTGCCCACATGGAGAAGCCCTCTGCTGACTTGACGGACGTGGACCTCGATGACATTTCTCGCGATTCCGTGAGACTCAAGAGCGATGTGCTGATCAACAATCCATACGACCATGACCTTCCCATTCTTGAAATCACTTACCGTCTCCGATGCGGCGATAGGTGAGCTCCATCTTTCAGAATCCTTGAATTTTTGTTTTGACCTGTTTTCCTCGTTTTTGTTCGAACTCGATCTGCATCCAGGGAAGATTCATTTGATTATTTGTATTGCGCCGTTCTGCAGGGAGATCACATCCGGCACTGTAGGTCACAACGGGTCAGTTGCAGCAAATTCAAGTACTGCCATCGCAGTGGGATCCAAGGTCCCCTACAGCTTCCTTGTCAACTTGATGCGCGACATTGGAGCAGACTGGGACATTGACTACGATTTCGATGTGGGCGTGAAGCTCAAACTTCCAATTATTCACTCCTTCACCATCCCCCTCCACAAGAAGGGCACGTTCAAGTTGCCGACACTGTCGGACATATTCTAATTTATAGATAGAAATCGATTGTAAAGAGATCTGCTTTTGTTGATAGACTTGTATATCGGCGCGATTTCTTGCCAAGAGGGATGTGCAGACACAGAGGCTACCATCTGTTACCAGTATGTTGTTATTTGAATACGTCTGCGTTTGCTTAAGTTGAGTTTTTCTCTAATCAAAACGGCGAGTTACTGTCACTTGTACAATCCCGTAGCTGCATGTGGTATTCTGATGATGGTATTGGATATTTTTTGTCTCATACTTTTGCAACTGAAGGTCTAAACACGTGTCATCCAATTTGGTGTAGCTAAGCATGCTCCATATTATAACCAAAACTTTTCAAAAAACTGGTTGGTTGTGATAATATGCTAGTAACATTATAATGCTTTAAGCAGAACAAAATAGATATTAAAGATAAGATTTTAACCTCATGAGAGCTTTGTAACAAAATGCTTGGCAATAGTTCTATTCTAATCGTTCTGAAAATTGCGCCCTCCCTGCACAGTACTAGAAACGTAATTAACACGTTCACACGTACCTCTAAACGAATCTATGCACAAAGGCCTGCGTCCACCTTGTTTCTACACTATGCCTGAAATCTGTGTTGATGCAGTTAGACATAGTCGAAACAGGATTTCACCGAGAGAGGACTATTGTACAAATGCATCTGTGCACCCTGCACCAGTAGCCCACCAACCAAATGTAGTCTGCAGATTCCTCTAGCATTCTTGAGACTATACATTTAGGTGGACTAGGATTTGTGAACAGGTACTAATCACCCAAGCTAAGTTGCATTCGACTGTGGAAGGGCCCATGCGCGCTCTCCCGCGTCGTCTTCATGCCATCCCATTGACGTCTGCTCAATTGAGCATACAGTGTCCCCGCAAGCGTTTCCTTCCACGTCAATCCATCCTGAAATTACAAAAAACGTCACAACAACGGATAAACAATTAACCACCCAGTTTATAGCCTAACAAACTACCCTTCACAAGAACGTAAAATGTTCTAGGTTTAGTCCTGATTCGCTCCCTGCGAATGTAAACGTTCAATTTCAGGTATGGAAATAAGCCTCTACCTCCATGATGCAGCCCTCCGTTGCTGGGCACCTGGTTGGCTGGTCGATATCTAGAGGCTCGTTGGGAAGCTCAACGACAAAGAAGGTCTCGAAGGGTGATACGCCATGCAGTGAAGTGGCGCGATAGATTCGGTTGAAACTGATGTTATATTCCTGCACGCCAGCCAATCGACATCTCAGTGAGACGGCCACCGAACAGCAGATTGAAAGCAAGCAACCAGCTTGCGCTACAAGTAGGTGCCGCCGCAATGACAAAAGGAGCTCGCGTAAGGCATGCAGCCACAACAGAATGAATCCAGTGTCTAGATTCTCTCGCATGTCAGCGCCTGATCATTTACCCAATTCCGCCAGAGATGACCTCACTTGCAGACCTACTCCCTATTAGCTCATTTGTGCTTGGCTAGCTTGGTGTATCGTATGTAAATTTAACTATGGAAGGGAAACTATCTCTGAAAATTGACACGCAACAATTACGAAAATCACGATTGGCGAACGCTTGACAAAGACCTGTTTTACTTCTCTACCTATTAACATTTGCATTTCTGCTACTTGTGCAATATTGTCACCCCAAAATCATCTAAAACCTTCTGGTTGTTCTGCTTATAAGAAATCCAAGGTTCTGGACAAAGTTACCCATAATGTTGTTGCAGGGAAGGGAATTCTGTAGAGCCTAGAGCGATGTTCTTCCAAAACATGGGTGATAGAGCTAACATTCCAGGGACTAGACCGTTATATGTCTATAATGACAGGGAGTCGCACAGCAAGGGGATTGAGAGCTTGGACTTTAGTTTAATGAAATCAATGTCTAGAACAGACACGAAGCTTGCCAAGCGCCATCACGGGGAATAAATCCCACCTCCTACAATGGCAACCAAGTCGAAATTGAGAAATACGGCAACATCACAGTGCGCGCGGAACATTATGGGACCTCAAAGAAGGTACCAACCAGTGAATGACGATGATTAGGGTGATGGTTGGGTCGATTGCACGAGAGCTTCGTGCAACCGCCCGCCATCTCTCTGGCTTAGTTGCACGCCTCCAATGCAGCACCTGCTTTACAACTCAACGTGCACTCCAGTTAGAGATCGGTAACAGCACTCAGCTCAATGCTATCGCAAACACAAAAGACTACAACCGGTCGCGCAGGAAGATTCTTGCGTTAGCTCTGATAACGTGAATATCTTGCTACGCACTTCTTACATTCTCAAGCGCAATGCTATACAAAACCGAATCGTTTACACATATCCTAGCCACTTGTTTTAATTGAATCGAAATGGACAAGCAAACAGCACACCATACCAAAAAACCTGAGGATGAAAGACATCCACACATATACGCAAACCTTGATGGTAGAAGACTCAAAATCAATCAACTTTGACTCAAGTACAACAACTCTCTGTCGATATACAGGCAAGACACCTACTCTACCGGGACCTCATCGACGCGTCACTGCAGTCAAATTGAACACGGCGAGCTCATGCCCCGAAGCTCAACAAAGCATTGCCGAGTCTGCAAATGCAATGCGACCGCTGCAACATGAGTACAAAACCGCAGCTGTAGCAGAATCAGAAGCACAAGAACCCACTTGTACGGGTGCAATCGAACAGCAACCTGAATTTGCACAATGGGGCAGCTACTGCATCGGCTAAATATAGTTCGAAAAACCTATCAAGTAGTGGGTCCAAATACAAGACTATCATTGGCACAAGCTGAAGTTGATCGATGAGGATAATATTTCATTACAATATATATATTTCCCTCAGGCGACCCGATAGGCCAAACGATTGCCGATACTTGCTGGAATGATAAAGAACTCCGGTGACTCCTATATACGGTGTGATCTTTAACTGCCCGCATCTGAGAACAGAATGTTCTTGGACAAAACGGAAACTCCAGAACCAGTGACGTAGCACCACAACACAGGCAATCTTGGTCAATCTCAACACTCACGATGAATGAACAACTGCAACGAAAAGCAACCAACTGAACCTTTTATTTTCCTTGTCAGAGTTTGTCTTCGCCACTCTCGATCCCGAGTCACCAAAGCCGACCAGGGGCGCCTCTGCCTCGTCACGTCCAAATATATATGCCCGTGGAGCTTCACGTTGGGGTGGATCGACAAGCCCCATCAACCCCAAACTGTAGCAGTCGTGGAACACACATCCACAGTCTCCATTTACCCAGTGTTTGTTTTTTGCAACACTAGACCTTGCACCCTTGCGTTCTAAACAGTAAATATGAAACAACAAATAAAGGTCGCTGCTCCTCCAAGTCCAGCTACTTCACTGCGCAGCTCCCCCTTCCTGTTTAAGACTATCGATGCTCTCCACACATGCCCTTCCTGTGTAAGACTATCGCTCCCTTTGGCTTTGTCTCACATGGTTCTTCTCCATCTGCCTCTCATAAACTGGGCAAACCGGAGCTCAGCATCCTCTGCTGATAGATCTGCATCGACCTCATTTCCTGAGCATACACTTTAGTAACTCAGTTTTTTCCTTTTATGATTCTATTTCCCCGTTTTCTCAAGTGGGACTCAGGATTGTGAATCATTTATGGCCTTTATGGTGTCTTTGTGCATGGAAGGTCCTGCTTTAGGCTGTTGACTTTAAGGGTACTGCTGCTGCTGCTTTGTGGCCATGTGGGTTTACAAGGGCCCTACTGGAGTCTCATTCGGGTCATCTAAAACTTTTCTCATTCTAGTGATGAGCGATACGGCTTTGCTTGGTTGGGAATTGTGTTCAGGAAAGCTGTTCGAAATGATGAGGAAAATTAGGGTCATGTGAGAAAATAGTTGTGGAATTCTCTGTGGGAAGCCATGACTTTGATGTCATCTTGTTTTAGTGACCATTTATAAAGTCATTTCTTACTTTGGTAAGATATGTGTATGTTGAGATCTGTGTGTCCATGTATGTATGTATGTATATATGTTGCAAGTGTAATATTTTTCGAACACAAACTCAAAGAAGATTACTTGGAAATAAGCAATATAATCTTTTGAATCTCGTCTTCGACTTCCTTCCCTTTTTTTTATTTTTTATTTTTAAATAATAATAATAATAATAATGACTTTTGGTTTTCCAAAATAGATTTGAACAAACTTCAATCAAACTTTATTCAGATTGCACACTGCATCTTGATAAGCATACATTTCTTTTTCATAAAAACAGTCTACAATTTTATGTGCATAAAATTGTGATATATTGTTAGCATTATATGACGATAATAACTCTCCTTAACAAAAATGTTTCTAATGATAGTTTATGAAGTATGAGAAACACCATCCAGGAACATTTTATAAAACATATATCCTAAGATATCCAAACCCCAAATGAACAGAGAAATGCTTCCCTAGCATCAGAAAACAAACAGAATTTCTGGCAGAAGAGCTTCAATGCAGCTGGAAATTAGGGCTTCAGTTGTGGAAGGGGAGGGACATGATCACCGTTTCCAATCTGAAGCATCATCCTGGTGTTGCAACATCGATGGGAGAAGCGTGTCCCTCACCATATCCCCAGTTGTCAGATTCAGCCAGGCACTGAACTAGAATTGCGGCCCCCACCTCCGGCAACTACCCACTCGATGGGATGAACCAGATGGAAGCTTCATGACGTTGGAACCCTAACCTCTGCCAAAAAGACGCAACAGACATCTCGATGTCTGTTGGTCCTTTCGGCTCACCAGAGGTCTGATCCTGTCGCAGCTTTTCGGGGAGAGTGATTAATCGGGATACACCAATCGGGCAGCAACTGTACGAAACCCTAAACCAATAAAAGGTCGAGGCTACACAAAAGAAGGACTAAAGCAGAAGCCAGCAGCGGGCTGCTGTTACGATGTACAGCTGATGATTCCCCTCTTTTCTAAATTACTATTAAAGGGAGGCGCAGCACATGAGGCATCAATGGCAGTTGTCTGGAAGCACATAAACATGGAGCTGTGCCTTTCCACTGCCCACAGGTACTGCACTCACTTTTTCCTCCTTCCCTCTCTTTGGGTCAGACCCATGCATCACCCACGAATTGGGCTATACTTTCGAGGATACAGCTAGACTTATGGGAAAAAGCAACAGCCTCCATCCAAGAGGTTGCCTAGACGAGCATTCAACCGAGACGAGAACATATCCATGCAAGCAGAAGACGAAGAAGAACGAGACGAAGTAGAATAAGAAGATTATGAACAAGAAGAAGAGGAGTTGTAGTTGCCCTTGTTGCCTTGTTTGGAGGTGACGTCCCTGCTCACTCCGACGCAGCACTTGTTAGAGATATCCAGAATATACACTGACCACATACACTGGAAGGGTATCACTCTCAATCCGGGTATCATTAAGGGACAAACCAGATCAACTGTGTGGGCAGTATATGTATTGTTCGAGCAAACATAAATGATAACATGTTGTATTGTGCTTAGCTAATCTGCTTATGTCTTTATGTTCTTTGTGTATGTGATATTATTCATGTTTTTGTAGAATCTCTACCTTCTAACATGGTATTAGAGCAAGCATAGATTGCTCCCAGAAACTCATTTTTGTTAGATATCTAATCTTGTTCATATCACCTACTCTCATCATGCTAAAGGACATCATTGTTCTTAAAGAAGTCAAGATGGCAAGATCATTGATCTTCCACTTATGGAAGTACATGATTACAAGAATTGCCAAATGATACAAGTTTTGGGACATCTTGTCACCAACCACCACAAGCACTTCCATGGAAACAAAATTAGATTTGGACAAATCAATCAAGGATAGATTAGATCAATTCATGTATATACTAACTATGTCAATTACATTGAATTTATTTATTGTCTTCACAAATTTCTAAGAACTAAAGAAGTTGTAGGAGTCTCTTCATCAATCCTTTGAAAATAGCAATAACAACAAAAAATTTGATCTTGAAGACAAACTTAGCATGATCATGTTTTTGCAAAAAAATTGAGGTAGAAAACTACTTCTCCTAATTTTGGCAGTTTCTACCTTTTGCCAGTAGCGTATACATCAAAGATCTAAATTTAATGCAAATTGTAGTAAAAAGCTTTCTTTCACTTATATGATTACTTCTTGAATTACCACACTAGCAATATGAATTATTGAATATTTAATTAATTATAATTGCAACTAATACTTGAAAGAAGCCACCACTTAATAAGATTGAGATTCAAGATACTAACCATTGAAGCACTATACAATCAAATCCATATATCATATAATTGGCACATGAAAGAAACTAGAGATTCTTGAAATTAGACTAGAAGAAAGAAATGAATTGATAAGAGTGAAGAAGACTTCACTCTTGTCTCTATATATACTATCTACATTTGATCTATGTGGCGACATTCTATAGAACCTCCAAAAATATGTTGACTTTACATGATACATATCTTAACTTGTGAGGCAAGTTTTTTTTATATAGGCGCCACATAGTTAGCTTATTCCATAAGCTACCAATACATGTGGTACGTGGTTAGCTTGTTGACGAAGTTTCTAAACTACTAATCAACTATAAATTTATGTAAAATCAAAACAATGTCTAGAAGGTACTATGAAATTGTTCTACTTTTATCTACTTCTATCTATTCATATTATTTAGATAAAAATTACAATAGATATATATCTGTGACATTATCTCTCTTTCTACGAACAAGTTTCATGAGGAGGAGTAATCACATGTTGAAGAAGTCTAAGTTACAAAAATAAGATGCAAAAAATTGTATTGCTACGTACTGTGATCTTTGTTTCCTTTAGGGTAGTTGATAGGTCCTCTCATTCATTGATAATGTCTCATTCTAAGGGATGAAGACCATCCTATTATTTGATCATTATTGAAACCTTTGTAACTTTCTTCAAATAAAATATTTGTAATACCATCAAGAATCATTTCTACCTCCAATAAAATCACCAAATATTGAGAGTCTCTTCTTAGGTCGTGATATCAAACACGTTGTATCTTGCCATCTATTTGAGGAAGAACATGTCATTCTTGAAGGTCTTCATCTCTATTACGTCATCTTAAAAGATGTAATAATCATAATATTTTATTCAATAAGTCAACAAATATTGGCTCTTGAATTGAATCTACTAGTTGTTGATTTTTCATCTCTTTAATGCCATAATTATATGAAAACTACAAACAATGATAAAAGATAGAATGCAATCTTTCCTAAATTATATTTCTTTTATAATAAAGGTTTGTTATCTTTTATCTTGGTTTTGATAGATATTATTGATGAAAAGTTTTGATCTTTTTTGCTACATTTGTAAGATTTTTTGTTGGCTTTCATATACATTTGTTGATATTATATGCATACAAATAAATAAGATATTCTAACCTATGCTAGCATCACCTTGAGTCTAAAACTTCTTCTACCTTGAATTCTTGATTATTATCCATTTCTATAAGAAACACTAGTATTTTTCTTCTTCTCGTGATATTCACTGTCTTATATGGCTCTAAAAGAGATATACAAAATACAAGATGGATTTTTATAGACTCCAATAGATATAATTGATAAGCGATTGGATTGACTTGTTTATAAATAAGAAATGGTTCAAGTCTACAATAATCCAACTTATCAGAAAGATAAATATTTTTAATATTACAATGAATTAACCATACTTTATCACCAACATCAAAATGAGGTTGTTCCTTGCGATAAGCATCTGTGTTGCTCTTTTGTTGTTCTTGAGTCTCTTCTAGTTGCATCTTTATATATATATATATATATATATAGATATATATATAGCTTAGATAAATGATTTGCTAAACCTTTCACTACAAAATAAACAACTTTTGAAAAGTCAAAAACATTAAGTCATGGATGATAATCATAATTAATAAAGAAAGATGTTTTTTACATAGAAAAATATATTGTGTTATTATAAGCAAACTCTACCAATGGCAAAAGAGTTGTTCAATCATCTTGAGGGTAGCTAATGGTATATCTCAAATATTGCTCCAAAACTTGATTTACATGATCTATTTGTCCATTAATTTGAGGATGGAAAGCCAAAGGTATTTTAATGTCCACTTTTAGAATCTTAAAAAGTATTTTCTAAAATCTTAATACAAATTGAGTTCTCCTATCTAATATAATATCCTTAAATAATCCATAATAGCAATAGATATTGTTAAGAAAAAACTTGATTGTTTTTTTACATATGATAGCTTTTGTACATGGTACAAAATTTGCTATCTTAGTGAAACAATCTACTATCAAGAATGTAAAATCATAAAAACTTAAGACTAAAAGATCTATGATAAAATCTGTAGAAACAAAAGACCATGGCTTTTTTGAATAAAAGACCATGGTTGTTCTGGAATGTGTAATGGTTAAAGAAGTCCATAGGGTCAATAATAAGGAATTTTTCACCTTGAACAAACATCACATGATTGGATAAATTCTTTCATTGCC